CAAGAGTTGACGGCCAACAAAATGTGAGGCCACCCCACAGGTCGAGCCCTCCGTGGTTCCCATGGGAGTTGATAGCCAACAAACTATGATGTCGCATTGCAGATCGAACCCTCCATGCGTTACGTGGGATTTGATGGCCAGCAGGTTGTGGAGCCACCCTCGCAGGTCAGTCTTACCAAGGTGATGAGGTGTCTGTAGGCTGAAGTGCTGAGAGCAAAACTAGACTGTCAAAATTCCAATGACCTGGAGACCTAGAGACCTACCTCCGCCGACCTGGCAACACACATAATCAGCCCGGACGAGCCTTGTCAGCCCTATTTGTGAGGTACAGGTCGAGTCCTCCGTGGCTCCCGCGGGAGTCGGCAGACAACGGACTACAATCGCCCTTGTGGGTTGAGCCTTTCAAGGTTCACATGCAAGTTGGCAACCTGTAGTTAGTAAATCTGCCCTCGCTGGTTGAGCTCCTTGTGGCTTATCATAGGAGTAGATGACCAGCACCTTAGAGGATTGACATAGTGTAGCCGTGACACTGACCCACTACTTAACTTCCAACATCAATGCACATATTGCAAGGGAAAGCCAAACCGCTTTTAGCATCAAGGACCCCTAAGCCGACCTCGAAATATGTTGGTAAAAGGCCAAAGGACGTACGACGAAGCATGAATCTACTCCCTTTGCTAAGCTGATCTCAGCTCAGGAGTGGGGGGCAATTGATGAAGGCAGATTTGGCCCTCCATTGACATCATGACACATGGCATATCAGAATAGTTGGACTACATCCCAGCATCACCTAGGCAACAACTTTCCTTAGCCAAAATGGGGTCCCAGCTGGCAACCTGGTGACCTGCCTCTATCGTCAATCGGGTGACCTACTTCTACCGCCGACTTGGCAACCTACCTCTGCCGCCGACCTGGCAACCTGGCAACCTGCCTCTGTCGCCGACCTAACGACTTTCCGATCTGCCTCTGTCGCGCGACCTAGCGACCTACCTCTCTAGAAGCTTTCCAGTTGTCTCTGAACCTTTCGGGATCACGCCGCATAACCGCAGGCCTTATCCTCTTCTTGCCCGAATCGGAGGGAAATGGTAAGCCTTATTAACTGGAACGTTATCCTCCTTCCAAAGCGAAACGGACCCCTACGTCGTGGGTCAAGGATTCTGGGAGCGTTTCGTGAGACCCACAACAACCCAACTTTATAAGGGCGTTAGCCCTTAAGACCCAGGTAGATGCACAATTTAGTTCTCACAGCTCTCCAGCTCTCCCACATTTAGTTATATTAAAATCTCTGATTCGCTAACTTAAGCATCGGAGTGCCCACCCCGAGTAAAGCAACCCGGACACTCTGACACTGTTTCCTTGCAGGTTGCATCAGAGCCACCTCTCCAACTCGTCACCACTCAACTAGGCATCAGAGCCACTTCCCCAGCTTGTCACCACTCAGTTAGGCATCCGAGCCACCTCTCCAGCTCGTCACCATTTAGTTAGGCATCAGAGCCACTTCTCCAGCTCGTCTCTGCTTTTCTCTTCTCCTTCTCCTTGCCCTCACGAAGAAGTGAGACAAGACCTCTAATTGTAAATGGGAAAGCACCAATGGTCTCTCCTTGTTCACTTCCATAATGGCTAGGCATTCTAGCATTGTTGTTGCAAGTAGGGGTGGATTCAAGCCAAGCCGAGCCGAATACTTGGCTATTCTAGCTCGGCTCACTGAAATTTTGTTACGCTCGAGCTCAAGCTCGAGCTCAACTTTGTTCAAAACTTGCAAATTCGAGCTTGGCTTGGCTCGAGCTTGACTACAAGCCAAGTTTATTTTTATAAAAAATAAAAAGTATACATATAAAAATATTTTTTTATTTTACATACAAAAAATTAAGAATTATAAAAATCATTTATTATTATACATATAAAAAATAAAAATATACAAATAAATAATGTTTTTATTTTACATACAAAAAATAAGAATTATAAAAATTATTTACCATTATACATAAAAAATTAATATATTATATATAAAATATTATTATATAATATAAATTATTTATTATATATATGTATATGTATATGTATATGTATATGTATATGTATATGTATATGTATATGTATATGTATATGTATATGTATATGTATATGTATATGTATATGTATATGTATATGTATATGTATATGTATATGTATATGTATATGTATATGTATATGTATATGTATATGTATATGTATATGTATATGTATATGTATATGTATAAATGCATATGTGTATGTATATGTATATGCATATGTATGTATGTATGTATGTATGTATATATGTATACGGGTGTTCATAAAAAACCAAAAAACCTTACCAAACCGAGAAAACCGAACCAATCAGTTCAGGATTTTTGAAAAATCGAAGGACCGGTTTGGTTTCTGGTTAATATATATTTTTAATATATGTCACATATTTTCTGTGTATTATATATAAATATATATTCATTATATATATAAATATATATTCATTATATATATAAATATATACTTATATTATATTTATAATGATCTATTTATAAATATATATTATATATTTTTCAAATATTTATAATATATTATATATCATTTATTATTTATTATATAATGTTATACATATATTTGTATAATATATATTATAAATATAAAAAACCGAAAAACCGAAGAGTTGAACCAGTCAAAAACCGAAACCGGCAGACTGGTTAACCGGTGGTATCGGTTTTGTTTTGGTTTGGAGAATTGGAAAACCAGTACTACCGGTTTGGTTTACAAAAAAATGTCATGGTTTAGTTAACCGAATTGTGGACACCCCTATATATATGTATATAATAAAAAATTATTTATTTATTATACCAGGATCGCGAGCGTCACGAGTCGAGTTTCATTGGGCTCGACCTCGGATCGATTAGCAAACGAGCCTATATGTCAGGCTCGAGCTTGACTTGAAGCTTAGTTTAAACCGAGTTTAGCCGAACTCGAATAGCTCGTGAAAAGCTCGGCTCATGGCCACCCCTAGTTGCAAGCACCTTACAGTTGGGTGTCCCAGATTGCAAAGCAAAACTGACACAGCTCATTGCTCCCCAGCCCCAAAGCAACCAAACCCACCTTATTGTCCTCATCCAAATTGAGGTTCAAGAGAAGTGAAAGCGCCGATTCTTAGATTCTGGAATCCTTGGAGCCAACGCAATTGAGAATGGTGGAAACGACACCGGCCTCTGTTAACTTTTGGCATTAGGTGGGTTCCGCTTAGAGAGATGACTGAGTTGGTTAAGAGAATTGAGGTTGGAGTCAAGAGATGAGAATGGGGAGGTAAGAGTGGAGATTAGGGTCTATGGTTGTGGTTGAGATTGTATCTTTGGAGGGGAAGAGAGGGTGAAATTAGAAATGACTAATGAGGCTTCTGAGAGCGTGGTTGGGGATGAGACAGGCAAGTCTAATTGTCGGTGTCCAACCACCATTGAATGGAAGACCGGTCGAAGGTGTGCCTACGTTTGACTTCCATTCTGTTGAGAAATAATGGGTGTATTTGTTAGTTGGTTAGGTTTTAAGGGAAATGGCAAGAAAAAGAAAATAGAGAAAGTTTAGGGAGGTGCTCTAATAATTTAACGCTCTCCGTCATCTATGTTAACAACCAAGGGGGTATTTGTCGCAACTTAAAAATTCAGGGAGGTCTTTGTTGCAAACTAAAGTATAGGGGTCTCTGTCACTAACCCTATAGTACAAGGGGGTCATTATAATTTACCCAAAATAAAACTATAAACAAGAAACAAAATTGGTGCCAATGCTGGGATGCAATGAAACTCTCCCGAGGATTCTGTTTCATGTTCGACAATTTCCTCTTAATATGCCACCTTTTGAATTTTTAATTAATAATATATATATATATATATATATATATATTAAAGTAATGAAATCAGGCCAAAGTCTCCCCTAGTCAGACATGTGGCCCACTTACATTCAGACACCTGTAATTTCAAAGATTTAAATAAAATAGACACGTGTCAAAATCTGAATAGTGGTAGTTTAAGAATAGAACCCATTAGACATGTGGTAGTTCAAGAAAACAGCCCACTAACATATAGAGTGGAGCCCACCACCATGCAAAGTTGTGAGAAGTGGGAAGCTCCCACTTTCAATCATTTCCTCAAAAATATGAAGTTGTGCTATTAATTACTGTTAATTACTAAACTAATTAATTAATTCAAGCTACTAATTACTAATAATAATTACTATTAACTACTTTTAATGAATTAATTACAGCTATTAATTACTAATTGATTACTGTTAACTACTTCTAATTATAATAATTACTCATTGATAACAATTAATTACTGAAAACAATTTCTTATAATAATTACTTCTATTACTTAATTGCTGATAATAATTAACTAGTGATAATATTGCTCATTATTAATTCAGAAAAATAAGTTCTTATAATAGTTATTGCTAATAATTAATTACTAATAATTTATTAATGACAATATTGCTCATTATATTATAATTATTATCAGGAATTATAATTCATACATTTATATGAAATAATTAACTATATTATTATAAGTAGTTATAATTAATAATAAATATTTTCATAATGGTAATTAATAATTCGTAAATAGTCATTTTATATTTATATTAACTCATATTAATTATTTTGAAAATAAATATTTAATGTTAATTATTTGTATTATAATTATTGATGTAGCGCNCTGAGGTTGAGGTAACTGGGGAAATTGCTGTTGATACTGATACTAGGAGACTTGGTGCAGCACGTGTTGTTGATAGAGCTGAAGTTGCTGGAACTGATGCATTTGGGCCTGCATGGCCCGCATGCACTGCATCAAGTCCTCCAGTTGGTTYGGGCTGGCCGMTGGGRGCACGACCGAAGGTTCGGTGAACGTCGCTCCGACTGTAGGAAGGAGTGGCACGACGACAGATGCAAGAGACACATTCAAGCTGGGGATTCCGTCCACCGAGAGGGGGACGATGAACTGTCCGATGCAGACAATAGGAACCTGGGGTTGTTCCCTAGAGTTATCCATTTCTGTGCTTCGTCCGACGTTGCTAGAGGAAGCCATGAGTGCTGGGTTTCTGGAGAGTAAAGAGACGTGAAAGTTTGGAGAAAGGTTTTTCAAAGCGCTTCCCACAGACGGCACCAAATGATGTAGTGTGATCCGGTCACTCCTAACTGGCACTCACGTGGCTCCTAGAAGATACCTGAGAAGAAAATTCCCGGGGGGAGTTACCCGGCGGGAACACTCCGATGATTAAGTTAGTACTTGATAGGAGAAGCAAGGAAAAAGATGAAGGCTAAGAGTGAAGATAGCGTGCGTACAGAAGATGAAGATCCCCCTCCTCCTTGATGCTAAGCTCCTTATAGCAGAAATCTGTTACCTCCCACCCATCGGCCTCTGACAGGGCGGGTATAACCACCACTGCCAACCTTCCGCAGCCGTTATTGATAGGGCTGAGGTGGCACGCGCGGGGCCGTCATTGCTGGGTACGTGTCTGTCAGGTGTAGGACACCTTCTAAAGGTGGCAGGCACGACGCTGCCTGACGAGGGACACGGCTGCTGTCACCAGATTTGTCGGGTACGGTGGTCAGGCAGGAGATCTTCCTGCCTTCCTTCATGTGGCTCGTCGAGCTGCCACATACTGGGGYGCTTCAGGGCAGATAGGTCCCTGCCTCGAAGCACCGAGGTGCTCCCTCCCAGGTGAGGAAAAGCTTGGCGTCCCTTAGGGGGGAGCCCGGGCTCTCCGAGCTAGGCGGGGGACTGACCCACTGAGGTATTAGCCCTCGGCGAGTTGGTTGTCTTTGACTTGGTGTTTCCTTCCCGTCGAGTCAAGATCACGCTGCTAGGCTGGACTGTTCACCAAGCCAGGTCATGCGCACGTGTTCTAGGTTCATGGGGTTGAGCCAAATCATCCTCCATCAATTGCCCCCCACTCCCCGTGCTGGGGACGGGGGGCCCAGTGCGAGGAGTTCACGGTTCGCTAGGCGGATTTGGCTCGGTTACTCACACTACATGTCAGGCGGTTCAATGGCTAGACCGGTTGGGCATTTGGTTCTTTACGGGAAAAAATCCACGTCTCGTGCAACTCACGCGTGGACGTCAGGCACTTTATGCTGCGCGGACGCCAAAAAATGCGCTAAATTAAATTCGCGTTGGGAGTCCCGCAGCCAGTTTCTTTGAGGTCTGTTGGATTGATCCAATCTTGATCGTTGGTCACCGGTCCCCGCGTCTATAAATAGCGGGGTTCTGGCATTCTCTTCGCTGCAAAGTATTTTTCGCCTTGAGCTCGCGTCTAAGGTCTCCAGCTCCAGTCTTTCAGCTCGTTTTCGCCTATTTCGGGTGAGTCTCTGAGTCTTTCCTTTCTTTTTCTTTCTTCTTTTCTCAGCCCGTTCCTCCTTATGTCTAGTGAGAGTAGCTTCTCGGATGAGCCCGGGGTGGGCACTTCGGGTCATGGTGACCCTTCCCCGGCCCGACCTGTGTGCACCCGGGTCAAGTTGGCATCGGTTGTCTCTTACGGGTTTAACTTGTTGCATGCCAGGGCAGGCTATCCGTCACAGGGTTCTTGGCCAAAGTGTTTGTGCCTTAGGCATTGCAAGCATTTAGCCTATGCTGATGAGACAACTAGATATTGTATTCTGCCGAGGTCTTTTCATTAGCTCAGCGTTCTAGCCCTTAGGCTGGAGGAGTGGCTCGTGGCCCACTCTCAGAGTCTGCCCATGCCATAGAGGCGACTGGGTCCTATTGTGCCGAGGTCATGTTAGCTCGGTATTCTGGCCCTTAGGCTTCAGGAGTGGCTCATGGCCTACTCAGTTCTTATAGATAGTATTGTCTTAAGTTGTCGATATTCCACGCTCGAGGCACTTGTTTTCTTTCGAGGGTCTCGAGCTCGTACGTTCCTTCCCCGAGCACTCGTTTCACTCGGTAAGGACCTTCCCAGTTGGACCCGAGCTTGCCAACACGGGCTCAGGTACCATAACTTTACGAAGGACCAGGTCGCCAATGTGGAGGCTTCACTTCTTGACCCTTGCGTTATAGTACCGAGCTACTCTCTACTGGTAGGCTGCGGTCCTGATGTACGCGAGGTCCCTTACTTTGTCGAGTAGATCGAGGTTGGTACGTAACTCATCTTCATTTGTCTGATCATTGTATGCTTCTAGTCGCAGCGTAGAGACTTCGATCTCTGCGGGGATGACTGCTTCAGTCCCGTAGGTGAGGTTGAAGGGTGTTTCTCCTGTGGCGGTCTTCTCCGTGGTCCGGTAGGCCCATAGAACACTGGGTAGCTCATCTGCCCACAACCCTTTAGCCCGGTCCAGCCACGCCTTCAGTCCACGGAGGATGGCTCTGTTCGTGACTTCTGCCTGACTGTTTGCTTGAGGGTGTGTGACTGAAGTAAAATTCTGTCGGATTCCCATGTCTTGGCACCAGTCTTGGAATTTGATGTCCTCGAACTGCTTGCGTTGTCAAAAATCAATACCTAAGGTAACCCGGAGCAGCATACGATGTTCTTCCAAAAGAAGTTTTGGACGTTTCGGGCTGTGATCGTTACAAGGGGTTCAGCCTCTACCCACTTGGTGAAGTAATCCACTACTACTACTAAGAACTTCCTCCTGCCCGTTGCTGGTGGGAATGGCTCGAGTAGGTCAATGCCCTATTGTGCAAAAGGCCACGGGTTGGTGAGATATTTAAGGTCGGCAGTGGGTTGGTGGTGAATATTGGCGTGCTTGTGGCATTTGTCGCATTTTCTAACAAGCTCAACAGCATCTGCCTTCATTGTTGGCCAATAATACCCCTGTCGAAGTGCTTTCTGGGCGAGGGCCCTGCCCCCCAAGTGCCCACCGCACAACCCCTCATGAGTGTCGCAGAGTACGAGCTCGGCTTCGGTAGGTCGCAAGCAACGCAGGTAGGGTAGCGTGTAGGATCTCCGATACAGTCGTTCGTCTATCATGACGTATTTGGCTGCCTGGCGCTGCACCCTTCTGGCTACATTGCGATTTGCATGGAGGGTCCCGTGTAGCAGGAAGCTCGCGAGCGGGTCAATCTAGCTCGGCTCTACTTGAACGACAAGAGCGACCTCCTCTGCCCCCCCCCCCCCCCCCCCCCCCCCCGAGAATGCTAGGCCGAGGCAAGTCCTCTATGTACATGGTTCTCATGGTAATGTCGCTGGCACTGGCAAATCTGGACAGGGCGTCGGCCTCAGCGTTCTTCGACCTTGGGATTTGCCTTATAAAGTGTGAGTGGAAGTTGAGCAGGGCCTCTCTGACTTTGGCTAAGTAGGCGATCATGGTTGGCTCGCGAGCTTCGTACTTGTCGGTGACCTGGTTGACCACGAGTTGGGAGTCGTTGTAGATGACGATGTGCTTGGCTTTTACTTCTCTGGCTAGAGCTAGTCCTGCTATCAATGCTTCGTACTCCACTTCGTTGTTGGATGCCACGAACTCAAAGCGTAGCGCATACTCCAATTTCGTGCCACTTGGGCCATTTAAAACCATTTCGGCTCCACTGCCCTGTTGGTTCGAAGAGCCATCCACGTGAAGGATCCAGGGCTCCTCATCCCAACTCGCGCTTGGACGAACTAGGAGGGATGCTACACTGGCTGCTACTTCACGGGGCTCAGACTCGACCATCCTGGGAGCTTCGGTATCACCCGAGCTGGGAGCCTCGTGCTCAATAGACCTGGGAACTTGAGAGCCAAACGTGCACTCGGTGATGAAATCTGCTAAGGCTTGGGCCTTAATGGCAGTTCGCGGCTTGTACTGGAGGTCGTATTCGCGGAGCTTGACGGTCCACTTCGTCAACCGACCAGAGACCTCGGCTTGAGTAAGACTTGCCTCAGAGGTTTGTCGGTGAGGATAACAACAGTGTGAGACTGGAAGTACGGGCGGAGCTTTCGAGCTGCAATTACCAGTGCGTACGCTAGCTTTTCTATCTCCGGGTATCTAGTCGCTACTCCCTGCAATACTTTACTAACATAATAGATGGGTCGTTGAACCCGATCTACTTCTTTTATTAGCACCAAACTGACCACTTCATCGCTTGCCGAGAGGTACAGTTCTAAAAGATCACCCTCCTCGGGCCGGGTCAAGATCGACAAACGCGAGCTGACAGTCTTGGGTCCATTCGAACCCTTTGCTTTTGATTGCCTTAAAGAATGGTAGACAACGGTCCGCCGATTTGGACATGAAGCGGCTCAGGGCGGCTATGCGGCCATTTAACTTTTGAACCTCCTTCAACTTTCGGGGTGGTCTCATATCTAAGATGGCCTTAACCTTATTCGGGTTGGCCTCGATGCCACGCCGGTTAATGATGTATCCTAGGAACTTGCCCAAGGTCACGCCGAAAATACACTTGTTTGGGTTCAGTCTCATATTAAACTTGCGCAAAATTTCAAAAACATAATGCAAGTCTTGTATTAATTCGTGTGAAAATTGAGTTTTGACGACCATGTCGTCTACATAGCATTCTACCTTTCTACCAATTAATGGCGCAAACAACTTATTTACAAGTCTTTGAAAGGTTGCCCCTGCGTTTTTCAACCCGAAGGGCATAACCTTGTAACAGTATAGACCGAACTCTGTGATGAAGGCAGTCTTTTCTTCGGCCGCTGGGTCCATCTTGATTTGGTTATAGCCCGAATAGGCGTCTAAGAAACTCAACAACTCGTGCCCTGAGGTCGCATCCACCAAACGGTCAATTCTGGGGAGCGGGAAGCAGTCTTTCGGGCAGGCTCGGTTTAGGTCGGTGTAGTCGACGCACATGCGCCACTTGCCGTTAGCCTTCTTTACCAGTACGGGGTTGGCTACCCAGCTCGGGTAATGGACTTCTCTTATGAAGTTAGCTGCGAAGAGCTTCTCAACCTCCTTGCCGACCGCTTTCCACCACTCCGGGGTTAGTTTGTGTTTCTTCTGTCTAACGGGCCTAACTACAAGATCAGTATTCAGCTTGTGAGTTATAAGGTTAGGGTCTGTACCGGGAATCTTTGCCGCGGATCATGCAAAAATATCTAAATTTTGAAGAAAGAAACTTACCAGTTCGGATCGTAGAGGTTCCTGGACGGAAGCGCCGATCTGAAGTGTCCGAGCTGGGGTTGCTGTCGAGGTCAGGACTACGACTGTCTCTTTCGTGAGTGCGGCTCGTTCTTCACCTTGCTCCGTAGGCCGCTCCAGTTTGAGGTCATCGGCCACCTTGGTCTTTCCCTTCAGGGCGGCGACATAGCACTTGCGGGACTCGAGCTGGTCGCCCCGCGCTACCCCAACACCGAAGTCTGTAGGGAACTTCATCGCCAAATGGTAAGTGGAGACCACCGCCTGTAGGATATGTGTGATCGGCCGACCTATTATGGCATTGTATAGGGAGGGGGTTGCGACCACCAGGAATTCGTGGCTGAGTCTGACTACACAGGGCCATGTGCCAACTTCCACAGGTACCGTTATTTTCCCAAGGGGCCGGACTTCTTCTCCGCTGAAGCCCACCAAAGGAGTGTTTGCAGGTTTCAGGTCACTTTTCTGCAACTGAAGCTGGTCGAATGTAGCTTTGAAGAAGATATCTGCCGAGCTGCCCGAGTCGACGAGTACGCGCCTGACCTCGAAGTCATTGATCCTCAGCTTTATCACAAGTGCGTCATTGTGAGGGTAGTGGACCCCTCGTGCGTCATCTTCTGTAAAGAAAATTGGCTCTTCTGCCAACGGCCGCTTCAGAGGATTCCGTTCTTCCTGGGCGGCTTCACGAACTGACGTCCGAGCTGCTGCTGAAGTGCAACCTGGGACGATCGATCCTCCCACTATAACATGGATTGTGCCCCGGACCGGCCTCTCTTCCAGAGGCTGCCTCTGTGACTGCTTGACCGACCTGCTGCTGGACTCGGGAGCATCCTTACCGTGCTCCACTTGCCGACCTATTTTATTATTATTATTGTTGTTTTGTACAAAGTTCCTTAAATATCCTCGATGGATGAGTTCTTCAATCTCGTCGCGGAGATTTTTACAATTTTCGGTACTATGACCGTGATCTTTGTGAAAGCTACAATATAGGTTCTTGTTTCTCTCATTGGGATTTCCCCTCAAACGGGGTGGCCATTTCACATACGGAGCGTCCTTGATCGCCATCAGGATTTCGGCTCGCTTCGTGTTCAGTGGGGTGTAATCAGTTCGGTCCGCTGCAGGAGCTCGGAACGACTGACCTGGCTTTTCCCCCCAAGCTGCACCCTTTTTCTTTCGGCTGTCCCCTTGACTGGAAGGCTCTCCTTCCCTCTTCCTCTTTTCGGGCGTGCTTTCGCCCTTCTGGTTGATCTCTTCCTCAGTGGCTATAAACCTGTCCGCGAGCTTAAGGAATTCGGTTATGGTCACTGGTTGGTTGACGACCATGTGCCACTTGAACTTCTTATGCGTCATGTCTTTCTTGGCTGCTGCAAGGCGCACGGCAGGGTCTAGGCGCGGTATCTGGATGCAAGCATTGTTGAACTGCTTGATGTAACTTCGGATGGACTCTCCCTCTCTCTGCACTATGCTGAGAAGACTTTCTTCAGTTCGCGAACACCGCTTGCTAGTAACGAAGTGAGACACGAAGGCTTGCGCGAACTGCGCCCAACTTCTTATCGATCCAGGTGCCAAGTTCCGGTACCATGTACGGTCTGCTCCTCTAAAAGTGGTGGAGAAGGCCACGCACATGCACGACTCACTAGCTCTCGCYAGGTGCATCTGCGACTGAAAAGCGTCCACGTGATCATTTGGGTCGAACGACCCGTCGTACTTGTCAAGAGGGGGGAGCTTGAAGTCTTTAGTCATTGGGACTGCCAGGAGCTCGAGAGATAGGGGAGACTGGACTAAAAGGAGGGGTGCCTTGGCTTCACCCGAGCTTACCTCTTCTTTGCCTCCGAGCTCGGGCAGGTCGTGGGTGGCAGATCGGCAAGCTCGGCGGTGGCGTCTCTACTTCTTGGCGGGCTCGGCGTTGGTGCTGCTCACCTCCGTGCTATCAGCAATGGTGTGTGTAGGAAGTAGCTCAGGCCGCTGGTGCTGGCTGCGGACAGAGGGATCCTGCTTGGAGCTTGCGGCCAGGATCTCAAACTGGTTCCCTAGGAACAGGGTATCGAGCTTCGAGGGCTGACGAGACGTGGACCTGGCGAGCTGGGGTCCTCCCGACCTGACTGCCCTTGGTGAGGCCGGAGTGGCTGGTCTTCCTTGTCTACTGTGGGAAGAGGCCTGGCTCCTAGGAGGGTTCTGGGGGGCCTCTCCTTGGCGAGAAAGGTGCTCCTCCTGACGGCGAGACCTGGCTTGCTGCGAGGTCGGGTGCCAAGGAGGGAGATGCGGCTGCTGATGCTGAGGTTGGGGCAGCTGAGGGAATTGCTGCTGATATTGGTACTGGGAGAGGCCTGGCTCCTAGGAGGGTTCTGGGGGAAGAGGCCTAGCTCCTAGGAGGGTTCTGGGGGGCCTCTCCTTGGCGAGAAAGGTGCTCCTCCTGACGGCGAGACCGGGCTTGCTGTGAGGTCGGGTGCCAAGGAGGGAGCTGCGGCTGCTGATGCTGAGGTTGGGGCAGCTTAGGGAATTGCTACTGATATTGGTATTGGGAGACCTGGTGTAGCACGTGCTGTTGATAGACTTGAAACTGTTGAAATTGTTGCATTTGAGCCTGCATGGCCCGCATGCACTGCACCAAATCTTCCAGCTGGTTCGGGTTGGTCGCTGGGGGCACACCCGAGGGTTCATTGAAGGTTGTTCCGACTATGGTAGGGAGTGGAGCAACGACGGGTGCCCCTGCAAGAGGCACGTTCAAACTAGGGATCCCGTCCGCTGAGAAGGGGACGGTGAACTGTCCGATGCAGACAGTAGGAAGCTGGGGTTGTTCCCTGGAGTTATTCATCTTTGTGCTTCATCCGATATTGCTTGAGGACGCCATGAGCGTTGGGTTTTTGGAGAGTAAAAAGATGTGAAAGTTTAGAGAAAGGCTTTTCGAAGCGTATTCCACAGACGGTGCCAAATGATGTAGCGTGATCTAGTCACTCCTAGCTGGCACTCACGTGGCTCCTGGAAGATACCTGAGAAGAAGAAAGTTCCCAGAGGGAATTACCTAGCGGGAACACTCCAATGATTAAGTTAGTACTTGATAGGAGAAGCAAGGAGAAAGATGAAGGCTAAGAGTGAAGATAGTGCGTATACTGAAGATGATGATCCCCCCCTTGATGCTAAACTCCTTATAGCAAAAATCTGTTACCTCTCATCCATCAGCCTCTGACAGGGCGGGTATAACCGCCACTGCCAACCTGCCACAGCCATTATTGGTGGCACGCACGGGGCTGTCACTGCTGGGTACGTGTCTGTAAGGTGTAGGATACCTTCTAAAGGTGGCAGGCACGACGCTGCCTGACGAGGGACACGGCTGCTGTCACCAGATTTGTCGGGTACGACGGTCGGGCAGGAGATCTTCCTGCCTTCTTTCATGCGGCTCGCCGAGCTGCCACAAACTAGGGTGCTTCAGGGTAGATAGGTCCCTGCCTCAAAGCACCGAGGTGCTCCCTCCCACGTGGGGAAAAGCTTGGTGTCCCTTAAGGGGGAGCCCGGGCTCTCCGAGCTAGGCGAGGGACTGACCCACCGAGGTATTAGCCCTTGACGAGTTGGTTGTCTTTGACTTGNTTAAGGGGGAGCCCGGGCTCTCCGAGCTAGGCGAGGGACTGACCCACCGAGGTATTAGCCCTTGACGAGTTGGTTGTCTTTGACTTGGCGTTTCCTTCCCGTCAAGTCGAGATCACGCTGCTACGCTGGACTGTTCACCATGCCAGGTCATGCGTACGTGTTCTGGGTTCATGGGGTTGAGCCAAATCGTCCTCCATCAATTATTATCAGGAATTATAATTCATACATTTATATGAAATAATTAACTATATTATTATAAGTAATTCTAATTAGTAATATTCTATAAATGAATATAATTATATTATTATTATTATCAATAATTATAATTAATTATTACTAATACTAATGATGATAATTATTACTTTGGAATATTAATTAATTAATGATAATTATAAGTATTTTAATAATGTTAATTATTAATTGGGATRTAATCATTTTATATTAATATTAATTCATATTAATTATTTTATAAATATATAGTTAGTGTTACTTATTTACATTATTATTATTATTATTACAAGTAATTATAATTAATACTATTACTATTCTCCAATAATTATTTCATTTAGTGAAAGTTAAATTATAAAACTTTCAATTATTCAATATTGCTAAATTTAAAGAATTATAAAAGCAAATATTATTTTATGAATTAACTAAAAATCGTAATTATAACAAATTAATTACCTAATAAAAATAATAATAATAATAGTAGTAATAATAATAATACTTTAATATTACTGATGTCAAAAGCCATACACACATAATAAGAATATATTATTAATTAATAATAATAATAATATACTTATTATTATTAATTGATTTCACAATTATTAATATATTATTAATCTATTAATAATACTTATTATTATTAAAAAATGTTAATAGCAAAATTTAATTACTTAAAATTATTTGTTGAAATTACCCATTTTAGTTGGACAATTATCAATTATTAATTTCTTAAAATTATTATTTACAAAAAATTTTAATTACTCTTTCATTAACGACCTTATTTTTGAGTAACTGGTTTTTTATGTTCAATATTATTTTTTGCAAAATTCCAAATAACTTTTCATTTGCAATGCTAACCATTTTATTTTTCTCTTATTCAGTTTTCCAAAAGATAAAAAAAAATAAATTAATGGTATTTACCTATTTTTATCAAATTATGTATTTATCAAGTTGTTATCATTGATGATGACGATAATGATGAGTCAACTTTTGAAAGAGAGGGGTACTAATAATAATTAATGACTTCTAATTAATCAATTTCAGCTATTAATTACTTATAATAATAACTCACTGATAATAATTAATTATTGATAATAATTTCTTATAATAATTACTGCTAATACTTAACTACTGATAATTAATAATGATTTCCACAATGGTATTTAATATTTCAGAAATAATAATTTTATGTTTATATTAACTCATATTAATTATTATGAAAATAAATATTGAATGTAAATTATTTATATTTATATGAAACAATTAATTATATTATTATTATTATCAGTAATTATAATTAATACTTATATTAATTAATATAATTATATTATTTTTATCATCAATAATTATAATTAATCTTTACTAATAATAACGATTTTTTATAAAAATTAATTATTGATTATAATTACATACTGATAATTAATTCCTTAATTATTATAATGATAATTATCAGTAATTATAATGAATACTTATATTAATTAATATAATTATATTATTTTTATCATCAATAATTATAATTAATCTTTACTAATAATAATGATTTTTTATAAAAATTAATTACTGATTATAATTACTTTCTGATAATTAATTCCTTAATTATAATAATGATAATTATTATTTTGGAATGTTAATTAATTAATGATAATTAATAAGTATTTTAATAATGTTAATTATTAATTGGGATATAATCATTTTTTATTTATATTAATTCATATTATCTTTTTATAAATATATAATTAGTGTTAATTATTTACATTATTATTATTATAAGTAATTATAATTAATATTATTATTATTCTCAAATAAATATTTCATTTAGTGAAAGTTAAATTATAAACTTTCAATTATTCATTATTGTTAAA